CCACTGACAAACTTTAACAGGTTTCAAAGACAAAACCCTTTATCTATGTAACTATTCCCTGACAATGTATTTTCAGGAACTGGAGATGTCATCTAAGGACTTAGATTGCACAATGTGAATCACCATTGTGTTCTCTGACTCAGAAGCTCAGGCCAGCTGCATGGCAGATGGCCCAGTGGCCCCACAGACCCTATCCTTCTGGCTTGAGAGAATGAGAAGTAAATGAGAGAGAGAGAGAGAGAGAGAGAGAGAGAGAGAGAGAGAGAGAGAGAAAGAGAAAGGGAGAAATTATAGCCAGTGGCTGCTGCAGCTCCAGCTGTTGATCCTATTCCAGACATGAACACAATGATGATCTGGCTGCCAGAACAATAACACATATTCTAACCAGGGAGAACTGCCAAGGATCTGATGGTTTGCTTCCATATATGTGTGTTGTCTCGTGAGCATCCAGAAGATGGATGAAGCTCAACTGAATTTTTTTCTTCAGTATTATTTGAAGGGATATATTTTGTGATTTTGTTATGCCTTTGCTACTCCAAGTATGATTTGTGGACCAGCAGCATCGGCGTCACTTACAGCAGGTTAGAAATGCAGAATCTTGGGACCCGCTTCAAACCCAGTGACTCAGCTTCTGCATTTTAACAAGATCCCCAGGTGATTCGTATGTAACTTACAGTGGAGAAGCAGAGTGGAAAGCACACCATGACAGCTCACAGGACTGGGCTGATAGGATTGGATGGAAAGCCTGGTGGTGGCTAGCATTGGGTGATGCCAAGAAGACCAGACTGAGATAGGAGACCTGGGTTCTAGACCCAATTCTACCTCTCCCATCTGTGTGACCCTGGGGAAATCACTCCCTGTTTGAACCACTGATCTCCTCATCTTTAAAATGGGAAAAATATCTGACTTGCTTATTACGGGGCTGTGGTAAGGATCAAATGAGATACTTCATCAGGGAAATAATTTGTAAAATATGATGTACTTTTCAAATGCAAGGGGCTGCAATTGTCCTTGTTCAGATCTACTTAAAATGGAATTTGAGCTTTTTGACTTTTGAAATGAGTCATTGGACCATTCTGAGTTAACTGTGAAGAATATGTATGTGACCTGCAAGAGCAGGAGACATCTCTGAGCCACTTTCCTCAGAGATGAGCACAGGATTATAATTTTTCAAATGGATACAGGGAGGCCCTATTTATGAAGTCAGCAGTGGTTCCCCACCTGAGCTGTTCATTACAGCTACTTGGGGAATCTTCTTAAAAATACCATTGCCTAGGTGTGGGTATGGTGGCTCACACCTGTAATCACAGCACTTTGAGAGGCCAAAGCAAAGGATTGCTTGAGCCCAGGAGTTCAAGACTAGCCTGGGCAAGAAAGTGAGACCTGTCTCCACAAAAAAGTTAAAAATTAGCTAAGTGTAATGGTGTGCACCTGTAGTCCCAGCTACTCGGGAGTCTGAGGCAGGAGGATTGCCTGAGCCTGGGAGTTTGAGGCTGCAATGAGCTATAATTTTATCACTACACTGTTGTCTGTGTGACAGAGTGAGGCCCCGTCCCAAAACACACACACACACACACACACACACACACACACACACACACACACCTGCAACAACAACAACACAAAAAACTGCTGCTTGGATCCCAACACAGACCAATTGAATTAGAACCACAGTGCAGGGACATAGACCTTATTTTAAAAAAACTCACCGGGTGATTCAAATGGGCAGCAAGAGTTGACAATTACAGATAAAGCAGTATATCAGAACAAGTTTCTATGCACAATTGAACCCTTCTTGTCATTGCCATCAGTGGGATAAAACTAGGAAAGGGAAATACTTCTGCTTTCCACCCTCATGTTTCAAGAATTCCTCTTAAGGTAATTCACTAGAATTTAGAATTTGAACTTGGCAAGTGTTTTTTTCTTTGCCCTGTTGATCTGGCTGATGAACTTGGTGAATTTTAAAGCAAAAATGAGCCGGTTGTGGTCACGGCTACTTGGGAGGCTGAGGCAGGTGGATTGCTTGAGCCCAGGAGTTCGAGGCTACAGTGAGCTATGATTATGCCACTGCACAACAGCTTGGGTGGCAGAATGAGACTCTGTCTCAAAAAATAATAACATTAAAAGAAGATAATAATCTCATTGTCATCTTCAGAGAACCAGGGACTCTGAGCACAAGGACACCTTCAGGTGTTCTATTATGATGTAGTTGGTGGAGTGGAGTATTATGGTTCCAGTTTTCTAGACTTTATAAATGGGATCTATCAAAAGAGGGATGCAGAGAATAAGGAATGAACACTTGGACTCAGGGGAAACCCAAGAAAAAACATTTATTGGTTAGGGGAATGCTGATGACAGTGAGCCAGGAAAGAAAACTCAGGTACTCATGTACTCAGTTGCTTGAAGGTTATTCAGAAAAAAACAAAAAAACAAAAAACAAAACAAAAAAAGAAACAGAAAGAAAAAACCAGAAAAAAAAATAAAAAGCCTTTTAATGTTTTTCTAACTTTTCTCTCTCTCCTTTCCCCTTTCTGAATGATGAAAGAAGGCATAATGGTAACTGGAAAAGTCAAACAGTCTGACACATGTACATGTATGTTTATTGCAGCACTGTTCACAATAACAAAGAATTAGAACCCACCTAAATGCTCATCAATGATAGACTGGATAAAGAAAATGTGGTGCATATACATCATGGAATATTATGCAGCCATAAAAAGGAATGAGTTCATGTCCTTTGCAGGGACATGGATGAAGATGGAGGCCATCATTCTCAGCAAACTAACGTAGGAACAGAAAACCAAACACTGCCTGTTCTCACTCATAAGTGGGAGTTGAGCAATGAGAACACATGGACACAGGGAGGGGAACATCACACACTGGGGCCTGTCATGGGAACAAGGGGAGGGAGAGCATTAGCATTAGGACAAACACCTAATGCATGTGAGGCTTAAAACCTAGATGATGGGTTGATGGGTGCAGCAAACCACCATGGGACAAGTATACCTATGTAACAAACCTGCACATTCTGCACATGTATCCCAGAAATTAAGGTTAAAAAAAAAAAAGATAAACATTCTGAAATCAGGACAGGCTTACCTCCCAGCCAGGCTTCTAAGTTGCTGTCACCCAATTTGCTTTATTTTTATGAGTCCCATCTTCTTTTCTTATAAAAAGGATGGGAAGAAGATTAGTGTATCTGTCACTCAATATTGCTCTGAGGTTTCAGTATCTTTGGGCTTAGCAATTTTAAGAATTTTAAGCATTCGTGGCACAAAAGATTCTTTTCCTTATATACTATCTGTACAATCATGCCTCCAAATTCTGTAACATTTAATTCTTCTTGGAAAAAAAACGCCGAACCCCCAAAACAAAAATCTTATTCTCTGAGGTTAAAATGTATAGTATATCTGATTTTATGTAATAATCTGGCTTGGAAAACCATCAGCCAAGCTTCCTTATCTCCCTTCCCATCATCTCCTTTCCTTAGGGCCTATGGTTTGTTCCTGGTGGTCCCCAGAAGCATGTGCCAGTTATGGAGGTGGAGAGAGGGTACTCAGAGGAAGGAGCTTGAGAGGGGAACCCTGCTGAGCTGATAATAATTCAGTTTCTTGACCATGGCCTGGAGAGGAAGAAGATATTAGACATTTTTAAGATTTTTTTTTGTCTCTTTCATTTGATTTATAGCCGAATTCCAAATATTTTGCTTTCGATCTTTCTACCTCTTGCCCCAGTTCTGAAGCGGGCCAACAAAAAAGATGCCATTTTTGTGACCTTGAGAATCAGATACTGGCTTCCCTTTCTTTAATCTGGCAGAAGATGAAGGGATACATTCTCAGGTAGGATGGGGGTCACATGCACCCTGTTGGAAGGTTTTCAGGTGGTAGGAAGAGGGTTGCTAGCCTAGATGGATGTAATCAGATTTGATCTACCAAGAATGATGGTGATGAACTGACTTCTCTTTAACTTTTTAAAAAACAGGATATTGCTGCCCAGATATGTTACACTTGTGGCATTTTGGGGTATTCTCCCTGATATTGGTGCAGGCATGAGCCATAGAATCACATTCTTAAATAGTGGCTAAGCCTCCTTCCTGCCTCTGATTGGACTTTCTAGGCTCTATAATCCTACTGATGGCCTGAAAACTTACTAAATATGCAGCCAGGGCAATGAAATTGCAAAATGTGTTTTACTCTCCTCAAAGGTCCAAAGAAAATGTTATTTAAGTCAATGAATGGAGCCATCATTTTCGTGGGGCCTCTCTTAACTTCTTTCTTTCTTTCTTTTTTAATTTCTTGAAATAGTGAGTTCCATATCTGTCTTTCACTTCCCATTAGAAAGCGCTGACATTCTGATTTTCTGTAATCTTATTACTCTACGTGACTGCTATAGAGCTCCTTCTTGTTTTTTCTTCCTGTTATTTTTACTTCTGAACATTTACAGGGTGATAGGTTTCAATGACAATGAACCCCAACTATAGACTTTAATCTTTTCACAGTGGGGCTTCAAGATCTTTATAACTACCAGCAAAGAGCTCTGTGGTTTGCCAAAATTCCAATCATAAGAAAGAGTTGCCCACTCCACTCCGTTTTTATTATGGCCTTTTCCCTCCTTGCTCTACGACATTCGTGAGCATAAAGCTTTGTGGGGATGAAAAGTGGCCACTTGTCACCAAAACTTGGGGACCCCTGCTTTCTAGAGAAACCTCAAGAGATAATGCCATTCTCATAAGCCTTTCTGTCGTTTCAAAATCTTCCTTATAGTTTAAGAGTAAAAATTTCTAAGCTTTTTATTCTTTTTTCCGTTTGATTCTAAAATATGGGATTTACATTTCAAATCCTGTCAATGGGGTTATCATATGTAGCTCTACTTTATTTGCCTTCTTGCCCAACTCCAAAAGAACAGGCCCAGCAAGGAGGTCTTGGTGCCTCTTCTTTCTCCAGGGCCACAAATCTTCTTCCCTAGCTGCTGGGCAGAGTGATTATCAGAGATGAGGTATTGGGGACTGTATGTGCAACTCTGCTTCTCTGTTACCCAAACCCAGAAATCTAATGATAAGAGGTTGTGATGGTTAGTTTTATGTGTCAGCTTGACTGGGCCATAAGGTGCACAGATATTTGGTGAAACATTATTCTCAGTGTGTCTGTGAGGATGTTTCTGGATGAGATTAACATTTAAATCAGTAGACTGAATAAAGCAGAGGGCCCTCTCTAAACTTGGGTGGGTCTCATCCCATCAGTTAAAGGCCTGAATAGAAAAAAAAAAACACTGCCCTTTCCATGAGTCAAAGAGAGATCTTTCAATTCAAAGGCCGGACTGCTTTTGAATTAGGACATAGGTTTGCGTTTTTGTTTCTGTTTTCCTGCTTCTGGATTCAAACTGAAGCCTCAGCGCTTCCTGTGTCTTCAGCCTGCTGGGCTTCAGACTGAAATTACCCATTGACTCTTCTGATTCTCAGGCCTTTGGACTGTAAGATTAGAATTATACCATTGGCTTTCCTAGGTCTGCAGTTTGTCAACTGCAGATCTTGCAACTTTTCAGCCTCTGTAAATGCATGAGCCAATTCTGTAAAATAAATCTCTCTCTCTTTTACTCCCTCTCTCTCAGTTCTGTTTCCCCAAATAAATCTGACTAATACATGGATATAATAATTTTACACTTGCCCATCACAAAATCTCTTGATGTTGAAAGGGAGATCTTGATTTTCTGGTTTTCATAATAAGCACTGTTGGGAGACATGAATCTTCATGTGTAGATTTTTTTGGATAACTTGGTCTAGTGTATAGACTTGGATCTGAGACCCAGTTTCGAATCCCATTTCTGTTACCAGGTGGCTGGGTGATTAGGTCAAATCTCTTCTCTCTGTGCTCCATTTTCTCATTCCTATCAGAAGAATCACAGTGGATTATCCCTAGTGTTTTTTTTTTCTTCTTTCACTTCTAAAATCCTAGGGATTTAAAGTTTTTAAGTAGGAACAAGATTATGTCCTTTGCAGGGACACGGATGGAGCTGGAAGCCATTGTCTTCAGCAAACTATCACAGGAACAGAAAACCAAACACTGCATGTTATCACTTACAAGTGGGAGCTGAACAATGAGAACACATGGACACGGGGAGAGAAACAACACACACTGGGGCCTGTCGGGAGGTGGGGGCAGGGGAGGGAGAGCATCAGGATAAACAGTTAATGCATGTGGAACTTAATACCTAGGTGATGGGTTGACAGGTGCAGCAAATCACCATGGCACATGTTTCCCTATGTAACAAACCTGCACATCCTGCACATGTATGCCAGAACTTAAAATTAAAAAAAATTTAAATGTTCATTATATATCTTGAACATATATAATAAAATATATCTTTGGATATACATATAAATGATTACTATAGTCAAGCAAATTAACCTATCCATCATGTCCACCATGTCACATAGTTACCCTTTTTTTTTTTTTTTGGTGTGTGTGGTGAGAATTAAACTACTTTTTAAGCAAATTTCTAGTATGTGATACAATATTCTTACTATAAAACTCACATCGTATGTTAGATATTTACATTTATTCATCCTATATATCTGCAACTTTGTGCCCTATGGTTTTTAAAATAAAATACTGAATATCCATTCAGATTGTGTGTAATATTGAAATCCGAGAGAAGAACAGAGAAGAAAAGAGAAGGACAGGAAATCCAGGGAGCTGAGGAAGCAGCTGCCATGTCATCTTCCTCAGTATTTACTTTGTCCTCTCCTCTCATCAGTCCTGAACGCCTTGCTCTCTGGATCAGTGAAAACACTTTGAGCAGCAGCTAACTGAAAATACTGGTTCAGATTGGCTTAAACAGTTTCAAAAGTTATTAGTCCCCATAGCAGTAAGTTTAGAGGCTGGAGGGGCTGCAGGCATGGTGCCATGAAGGGCCTGGTTTCACTCCCCCGTGAGCCTCCTGGCTCTGCCTCCGCTCTGTGTTGGTTCATATGGCAAGGTGGCTACAGTAGTTTCTTGGGAGTGGGAGAGATGAAGACAGATTTCCAAGAGCTTTCAACAGATTTCCCCCATATCCCATTAGCCAGAATTGGATCCTATGCCCTCTTCTAAAGCAGCTACTAACAAGGGAAATGAAGTTATTGTGATTGGCTAGACAAGGGGTTGGCAAACTATAGCCTATGGGCCAAATCCAGCCTGTAGCCTATTTTTGTATGACATAGGAGCTTTAAAAAAGTTTCTACATTTTTTAAGAGTGTAAAAACCAAAAAACCCCGAAGGATATGTGACAGAAACCTATGTAGATGCAAACCCTAAAATATTTGCTATCTGGGCCTTTACAGAAAAAGCTCGCTGACCCCTGGCTTAGATGAATCAGGATCCTCCTCTGGAGCAGAGAATGGGGTCAGTCTTCCCCTGAGTTGCATGGTCTGCAGAGTTGAATATCTGAGCAAAACTGGATTTCTGTTAGAAGGAAGAAGGAGGAAATGGATGTTGTTTGGGTGGGCAGCCAGTTGGGCCCACAACACTACTTCTTCTTACCTTCTTCATTTCTCTAAGATACAGGGGGTAGGTCTACTTTGCCAAATCAAAACATTGGCAATGATCTGTCAAGTATAAGCTCTGAAGATACCTTTTCTGAGAATCCAGGTTCCCAGAGGGGAAATATTCTTTTCTCCTGAGCATTCTGCTTTATCTATTCACAGACAGATTTTCAGCTAATAGCTCTTTTTTTCCCCCCAGGAGATCTGAGCATAATATTTTCAGAACATAGACACAGACATACTTTCTTGGGCACAGACTTACATACACAAATAAGCACACTGACACATAGACACCTACACCAAGCTGCTCACTCAGAGACCAGCCAGCATCGAAGAGATTAAACTTGTGCATGCTATTAGCATGGCTTTTCAAGGGAAGAGCTTGTTGCAGTCCCTGGGCTCAGTTTTGGGTAAGCACAGGTTGTATCGGGACTAACTGAGCCTGCATTGAACTGATAATACTTTTAATTAGACACACGTGCTCTTTTCTCTGTGCCCTAGTATCTCACTGAGTATAATTGGTTTTTAACTATACCCAGAAACAAAGCAGACCCTGTAAACACCCTTTAAAAGTGCTGGTCTTTGAGGATTGTTTGTGACCCTAAAAGAATCTGTATTGAGGATTAGAATTCACAGACACGAAGTACTGAATACTCATAAGCACTCATTTTCTTTAAGCCTGTTATTGACTTTGGCATATCTTTCCATATTCCCCAGTGCTATAAATTCTTCAAACCAACAGAGAACGTCGTCATCACCCTCTCTGCATAGCTGGCAAGAGCAGTGAGAGTGATACACAGCTTGTCTGTGCTCCCAGGAATTCAGAGTTGAAATTTATGCTGCATATGTTCAATATGTTAAGCAAGGATATGGGTTTTCCTTGCCCTCTAGTAAAACTTTCAAGGGGGAAAGTAAATATTAACCACTTTAAAGAGATTAGTTAGGAAGCAAAGCAGATTCTAGTTACTTATTCATTTATTCTTCACTTAGTTCAGTTGCTGCACCTGCCTGTGGCAGACCCAGTTCTAGGCACTGAAGATACAAAGTATCTCTGGGAGAAAGCAGACAAGGATCCCTGCCCTCAGAGGGTTTACGCTCTAGTAGGCTGAACATAAAATTTGGAGTTGCACTATCTGTATGATATTTAAAGATATGAGACTGTGTATAATCACCAAAGAAGTGACTGCGTATAGGTAAGAGAGTTCCAGGAGCTGAGATGTACTTCCTGCAGTAGGGGGGATAAGGAAAAGGCTGAAAAGGAACAGCTAGTGAGGATAGAGGGAGCCTAGGAGAGCAAGGTGCTCTGCAAACAAAATTACGTGTTTCAAAAAAGAGGAGAAAACACACATGTGTCCACACTGACAGGTGAAGTATAAATTGGGTTGAGAATTAAAAATCGAATTTCATTACTTGGAAGTCATTGTTGATATTGACAAGAGTGATTCTGGTGGAGGGTTGAGAAGAAGAGTCTTGACTAAAGTATGTTTAAGAAAGAGTGAGAAGAGAAAAACAAATGACAGAAAAAGGGTATTAATTATCTGGTTTTTTTGCTCATTTGTTTTACAATACAAAATTGTGACTATAGTTGAAAGCTACAGCCTGTTATATAAAATATATTAGACTTCAACAGTACCTCCAGGTTTTATTTTTTTAACTTGCAACTTTAGACAGAGGTTGTGTTAGTTAGGATGTTATTAATAACTTTGCTTCTGTAACAAAGGCCAAATTGGCAGTCAACAAGATGGAATTGTATTTCTTTCTTACTTAGTGACTACTTGAGTAAAAGGATTTAAGGAGACCAGTGAAGTTGAGGGTCTGGATCCTTTTTGCTCTCCATGCTCAGCATGTGGCTTCATCTTGTGGTCTAAGATGGCTGCTCTATCTTCCACCATGATTTCCACATTCTAACAAGCAGGGACTAGGAAGAAGGAAGAGCAAATTCCTGTCTTTTTAAGGACATGACCTGAAAGTTGCATATCATGTTTTCCCACTTCCTATTGGCCAGAACCTACTCAAATAGCCACACCTAGCTGCAAGGGTGACTGAGAAATGTAGTCTGTGAATAGTTATGTGTCCAGCTAAATCTTCCTATATTACTAAAGAAGAAAAAGAGAGGAGATAATGGAGAAACAATTCACAATTTCTGCCACAAAGTTTCATTGAAAGCAACTAAACTGTGATTATGAAATAAAATTTTTATACATTTTTATAATTGTGCTTTACTCCAAGCATACTTATTTTAAACAAGTAATGAATAATCTACAGTGAGGTTTTTATATTGAACTTCAGTTTTCCCCATTAGGAATTACCTATCAGGTCATACAGGTCATTTTCTGTGCTACTATGGTCATTTCCTTGTGTCTAGCTTGTATCTTGTATCTAACAATTCATAAAATTCTTATTTTCTGCAAATGCATTTGTTTACAATATAGTCTACAAAATGCCGGGTATAGTGATTTTTAAATAAGACACAACTTCTCTTGATTTTTCAGACTCAATTTTGAGAGCTTTCTGTTGTTTGTTAACTGTTTTGTGCTGTTGTTTCTCGCCAAAGAACATTTTCTAATTCATTCTATTAGGTCAGTATTACCCTATACCAAAAGCAGACAAAATATCACAAGAAAAGAAAACCACAAGTCAATATCCCTTATGAATATAGGTGCAAAAATCTTCAATAAGATACTACTAAACTGAATCCAGCAGCATATAAGGATTATACACATTAAGAAGGATTATACAGGACCAAAATAGATTTATCCCAGAAATGCAAGGTTGGTTCAATGCACAAAAATCAATCAATGTAATGCATCATATTAATAGAATAAAAGATCATCTCAATAGGTGCAAAAAAATTTGGCAAAATTTAACACTTTTCATTACAAAAATCACTCAACAAACTAGGACTAGAATGGCGCTTTCTCAATATGAAGAAGACTATATGTTAAAACCTTATAGCTAATAATGGTGAGAGTATAAAGCTTTTCCTCTAAGAATAGGAACAATACAAGGTTATCTCCTTTTGCCATTTCTAATCAACATTGTACTGAAGGTTTTAGCCAGGGCAAGAAAAATAAATAAATGCACCCAGAAAGGAAGAAATAAAACTCTTTCTATTTGCAGAGGACCTGATAATAAATACAGAGAACAAAAAGAATATACACACAAACACAAAACTGTTAGCACCAATAGATGAGTTGTGCAAGGTTGCAGGATACAAGATCAATATCCAAAAATCAATTGTATCTACTCAAAGCTTGGAGAAGATTGGTAGTTTGACTTTCTGATGGCAGTTCAAATACCAGGATGTTTCCTGCATAGCACTACAAAACCTTCTTCTGCTTGTAATGCCTTGGGCTTTTCTGTTTCGTTTCATGCTGGCAATGGAGCAGCCTAGGGGCATTTAAATGCCAGGCCCTGGAGGAAAAGTGCTTTTCTTTTAGAGTTTCATTCATTTGTAGTAAAACGAAAAAAAACGTTTTCATGTAGTGATGAAAGTTGATGCAGTGCCCTTTTAATCCAATGTAAAGAACTGTTATTTTTTTGAGAATAGATTCATCCTACTTTTTGATATTAAACATGTTCTTTCTTTCTATAAATTTATCATGATAGTTTATATTAAGATCTCTGTTGTTTATGAAAATTTATTTATTTTTGAAAATTCACTTTGTGAAATTCAAGAGTCTAGGAAGTACAAGTAGCAGCTATGTTAGCTGTGTTTGCTACACCTTTAGGGCTCTGCAGAGTCGCCTTATCTATATCTTTACTACTTCTTAGTCTTATCTTTCTTTTTCTTTTTTTTTTTTTTAGTTTGTCTCCTTAACTCTTTTATTTGTTATGAACTAGAAAAATGTTGTGGTGTGGAAGAACTAGAAAATAGTTTGCAGGATTTGGATTGCTTTACTTGGAGCCTTAATATCGGTCCTCAAAAATTGAGAGGTTGTAATGTGAAGAGCATGGTCTATAAATATTTTCATGGGTCAAAATAGAAAGAACTGGGTTAAGCTTGCTGAGAATTTGGTTGAGCAACAAGAAAGAATTCATAAAATGGAGCAGTTATTAAACTTGGAATAGTCTACCAAGATCCAGCTTAGGGTTTCCACCCCTATGGAATGCTGGCTATGTCAACGCACATCTGCCCAAGGTTTGAGGCTGGGCCTGGTAACCTTTGTGTAGTCTTTTCAGCTTTCAGCTGTCGATTACAAAACATTTTGGTGACCTACCCACAATTCTCATATGATTTTTACATCACTGTGTGCACTCTTGAATGTTCCAAGTTATTCAAGTAAGGTCTATAAATCAGTACTGACCCATGGGCCTGAAAAATGTGCTTAATAAAAATGTGACAAGAAAGGACAGTGCTCATAGTTTGAACAACTTCAGTTAAAAAATTATTTTATTTTACCATTCCTTCTATGTGCCACTTTAAAATATTATTCCTAATAAACTTTATTTTTTAGAGCAGTTTTATGTTTACAGAAACACGGAATGGGACGTACAGAGAGTTTCCGTATTTTGCTTGCTCCTATGCATACAACCCCCCACCTGCAATCCACATCCCCCACCAGAGGGGTACATTTGTTACTGTTGATGAACCTATATTGATACATCATTATCTCCCAAAGTTCATAGTTTATATTAGGGTAATTCACTTTTGGTGTTATATATTCTATGGATTTGGGCAAGTGTTTATTTTCAATGCTCTGTTGACTTGACTTACTTCATGATTATCTTGTTCATGATGTTAAAAGCTGGTAAACATTCTTCAGGCAGGACAGTAAAAGTTTTGTAGAGCCTGAAGTGTTCTTTTTCTCTTGTTCACAAATCATCCTTTGCCTGATTAACTCTGTTAAGTTTAATTTGTCAAAGTTTTTCTTTTAACAGAAGCAAAGATAATACAGCAAATCAAAGATGGTCTTTTCAATAGTGCTGGAAAGACTGGACATTCACATGAAAAAACAAGAACCAAAAACCAAAAACGGAAGCCAGACACAGGTCTGGCTTCCATCACAAAAATTAACTTCAAATGGAAAATAGACCTAAATGTAAAACACAAAATTCTAAAACTCTTAGAAGATAACCTAGGAGAAAATCTAAATGACCTTGGGTATGACCGTGACTTTTTAGATACAACACCAAAAGCACAATTTATGAAAGAAATAATTGAAAAGCTGAACTTCATTAAAATTAAAAACTTACCTGTGGGAAAAAATATGTTATGAGCATGAGAAGACAAGGCACAGACTGGGAGAAATATCAGCAAAAGGCACATGTGATAAAGGACTCTTATCCAACAGAGCTCTTAAAATTCGACAAAGAGAAAATAAACAACCCAATTAAAATTGTATGAAATGCCTCAACAGTATCTCATAAAAGATCGTATATGGATGGTAAGTAAGCATACGAAAATATATTTAACTTTATCTGTCGTTAGGAAGTGGCAAATTAAAACAATAATGAGGTACCATGACATCCCTATTAAAATGGCCAAAATTGAAAACAGTGACAACACCAAATACTGTGAGGTTATAGAACACCAGGAATTCTCTTTCATTGCCGGTAAGAATGCAAAATGTGTACAGCCACTTTGGAAGACATTTTGAAGGTCTCTTACAAAACTACATGTACTTTCACCATATGATCCAGCAATCCTGCTCCTTAGTATTTACCAAATGAATTGAAAACTTACATTCACACAAAAACGTGCACATGAATGTTTGTAGTAGCTTCCTTCAGAATTGCCAAAACTCAAAAGTAACCAGATTTCTTCAGGTGAGTGGATAAATAAACTGTAGTACATTCAGATAATGAAATGTTTAATATTATGTTTTGATTTTTTTTACTGTTGTTGAGAAACAGACAATAGAATATTATTCAGTGCTAACCATAAATGACCTATGAAGCTGTGAAAAGACATGGAGGAAAAGTTAATGCATATTACTAAATGGAAGAAGACAATCTGAAAAGCCTGCTACTGCGCACTTCCAACTATATGACATTCTGGGAAAGGTAAAACTAATAGAGAGTAAAAAGATGAATAGTTGCCAGGTGTTGGAGGAGGGAGAGATGAATAGGGAGAGCATAGATAATTTTTAAGGCGAGTAAACTATTCTGCATAAAACTACAGCGGTAGAGATACGTCATTACACATTTGTCCCAAACCATAGAATGCACACCAAGTGAACCCTAATGTAAACCATGAACTCTGAGTGATAATGATGTGTCAAATAAGGTGCATTGATTGTAACAAATGTACCACTTTGGTGGGGAATCTTGATAGTGGGGTAGGTTGTGTATGTGTGGGGATGGGGATATTTGGCAACTGTCCACTTTTCATTCAGTTTTACTGTGAACCTAAAACTGCTCTAAAAATAAAATTTATTATTAATAAAAATATACGGAAGCATTTAGGAAAGTAAGAGGATCTTAAATGCTATTCACACTTTCTTGTGCAATAGTTTGGGAGGGTCATTTTTTCTCTACCTAGGGGAAAAATAGCTTTGATTATGGGTAGAAAAAGGAGTATGGTAATCTTAGGGTTTAGGGGTATGTAATAGCACTAAACTTGGGGAGGTAGAAACTAGTAGGTTATGGGTAATAAGGAAGGTAAAATGGTACCAATAATTTTTGCCAATTTAAAAATGATATCCAAGTGTACCGGTTAATGTTATGGGTCAGCTTGACTGGGTTAAGGGATGGCCAAATAGCTGGTAAAACATTATTTCTAGGTGTCTTCGTAGGATGTTTCTAGAGGAGATTAGCATTTGGATTGGTAGACTGAGTGGAAAAGGTCACCCTCACCAGTGCAGATGGGTATCATCCAATCCACTGAGGGCCTGAGTAGAACAAAGAAAGGCAAATTTGCTCCCTCGGAGCTGGGGCATCTATGTTCTTGTGCCCTTAGACATCCGTGCTCCTGGTTCTTGGGCCTTTGTACTTAGACTGGGACTTATGCCATTGGTTCCCCTGGTCCTCAGGCCTCCGGTTTCAACTGGAACTATACCATCAGCTCTCCTGGTTGTCCAGTTTGCAGATAGCATACAGTGAGATTTGGCAGCCTTCATAATAGTGTGAGCCAGTTCCTATTATAAATCTTTTATATATCTACATATATCCTACTGCTTTTGTTTCTCCAGGGAACCCTCACTAACATACCCGGGGTTGGTCCTATGTTGTGTAAAGGCAGCGCTGTGTTGATATGTGTCAGTGTGCGTATAGATATGTTTTTAATAACATAATTATCTGCATATGTAATTTTTTGTTTTCCCTTTAAAGTTGTTACCTCATACCTCCTTTTCTTGTTTTATTGCATGAACCAGAACTTCTAGAGTAATGTTGAATAACAGAGAATGATAGTTGGATTCCCAGCCTTGTTCCCGATTTTAATGTGAACATGCCTGGAGTTTTAATGTTAAATATGATGCTTACTTTTGATTTCTGTGAATAATCCAGGATTAGAACAACACATCCATAACAACAAAGTGTACTAAGAACTTTTATTACATTTCATCAAATGTCTACTAAGTTAAAATTAATTTTTCTATAACTTTTGCATAAATTTCAGCTTTTAGTTTCACAACTTTTTATATGTACATATACTTACACATGCATCATTTTCACAGATTCATAAATGTGTGACGTAAGTACTTTAATACATCCTTACCCCATCTTCTCCTCTATCCCAGATTAACAACCTTAAATATATCCTTCTGTACTTCTCTGATAATAATGTATTTCTTTATATATGTATATTGTATGCACATTTTTACATTTTGCTTTTCTCCTTTAACAATATTTCATGGAAATACCTCCAAGTTAAACAGATGTTACATTTTAGTCTTGCCCTGCTATTTATTAACTGCATGTTCTTAGGTAGGTTAAGTAACTTTTCTGGCACAAGTTTTTCTACTTAAACATGAGGACAACTATTCCTTTCTCCCAGGACTACTGTGAGAACCAAATGATCTCATATATAAAAAGTGCTAAATATGGAACCCGGCACATCATAGGCTCTAAGCAAGTGCTACCCAATGTCATGTCCAGTACAGGAAAAGCGAGCCTTTGTCCTCTCCCCTCTGGCAGTTATGGCCTCTAGACTGAAGATTTGTTAACTCTGTCAATGCCTGAGCACCTGTGGAGGGTCTTGGAGGATGCCCTGGGTGTCGGTTTCGTCCAGAGCAACAATTCTGGAGCCCCATGACCTGGTTTTGAATCCATGAGTCATCACTTCCTAGCATGGACAACTTTCTAAATCTCTCTGTGCTTCAGTTTCCTCATCTGTAGAATGGTAATAACACTACCTGTCCGTTGCCCCTATTGTGAGTGTAATGAAATGATGCGTGTTACACACTTGGAACAGTGCCTGATACACTGAAAGGCCTCAATGAGTATAAGTGAGTGAAGCGACAGGGCACAAGTTCTGAAGTCAATTGGCCGAGCGCCACCATTTGCTGGCTATTGGACCTTGAGCAAATTATTATTGCTATCAAAAGTATTTGCAAAAACTGCAATTATTTTTGCACCAACATCATACAAGCTGACTAGATCCCAATCTTCATCTGTGAAATGGGGCTAATCCCCACTTTCAAGCACTCTTTTGAGAGCAAATTAAGATTCTGAACAAAGGCGGTGGTATGTAGTAAGTGCTCAGAGCAGGCTGCTTCCCTGCCAGGGTTATAGTCCAGCCAAGGGACTGAATGTGCTTGGCTGTCCTAGGACTGTATCCAGCCTTTGTAATTCTCTCAGTTCCAAACGTGGCCTGCCAACAAACTTTCAGAACATAAGTTCACTGTGAATTGGGACATGCCTGCATCTCATCTGTCCATTCTCTTCAGGTGTTGGGGTCATGTCTTGCTCTCAGCAGACATTGCCACCTCATTTTGTTTCTTCCCTGTAAAGGGGAATACATATTTTATTTAAAAGTTACTCGTCTTGCTCTCTGGGGCATGGAATTATTGTTGGTTTAGTAGGCTTTGTAGGATGACTGTGGTGTGTGTTTACAGTTAGAGGAAGTGGGAATGGGACCAAGATGAGATGATGTATATCAATTTCAGCTGACTTTCTTGCCATTACCAGGATATTGCAATCCTCCAAGGATGTCGGTTTCCTTTTCAAATCTCTGCATGGAAGCTCTCTCACTTCCTTCCTCCTAAAGCAAAGCTACACACACACACACACACACACACACACACACACACACACAAATGCGGTTTTCCGGGAAGACTTCTCCTTCAATGCAAACACAAAATCTCCTCTCAAGAGAACAATTCATGGAGCAGACATCATCACATCAGACAATTTGTCCATCTCTTCTTGCTGAGACTTACTTGCTACTGTTGGCAATACAGGAATTCACTGCATTTGCTCTGAGCCTGTGCCTAAAACTGTTTAAAAAAAAGAATTTTAAAAAACCTTGTCCCTTACATTGCGTTGCATGCATGCCTATGGGGCCAGTTCATGATTTATTTTTATTTTTTCAGAAAAGGAACAAAAGCATTTGCACAGCTGTGGGTTTGGGGAATTAAGTATGGTTCAGCAGCACCCTCTGCTGGCTTGTTTGGGAACTGTAGAAAGCTCTGAGGTGAAGGATTCGGGATTTCAGAGCAGGAAACCTTTAGAAATAGTTTCTTTTCTTTGTAATCCATAAAAACAGGAGATACTTCACTCCCACCTTATTCAAGTATGTTTAGTTTCATGAAGCATTTCTCCATATTTTAATAAATTGCAATCATCCCATTACTTTTTTATTTTTTGGCAACCCATGAGAACAAATAAACAGCTGCATTTCTGTGCTTGGTCTCAGGAGTCATTGGAATATTCCATCCGGGCCACACACTTCTGCCTGTCTCCATTCAGGTGGCACAATTCCAGGAAGTGGTGTCCAGTTCTGCCCTTTAATTGAAGAAGATTCTGTGTTCAACCACAGGCAGTTCCATTTGAATCATTTTTCCATGCTGTGGATACCAAGTATTTGTACTACCTGTAAAAGGAATTAGGCTGGATAACTTCAAGGAGATCAGATGCTCTGTTTTCTCCATCAAACATTCTGAATAATTGTTACCTTATATCCCTTACATAAAGACCATGCTTCCCGTACCTGGAACCTAACCAATTTTGAAATTTGCACAAATGTGATACTGAAAAAGCACATCAGGGTCATTATCAGTTTTACAGAAAATCTAATAGGCTGAAGTGCTGCTGATTGATGGAATTCTCGGAGCAAAGCACTGATTTTTCAAAATTAGTAAACATTAAAAACACGCAGTTGAGCCAACTGAAAAGCATGTTCATATAATGGAAACACAGGGAGTCAAATATCTGGATTCCAGATTCTGCCACTTGCTACTTTTTAAGCCTTAGATTTCCTATCTGTCAAATGGAACTGCTATGAGGATTAAATGAGACCATGTATGTTAAATTCTTAGCACAGTGTATAGAAGCTTACTTAATAAAGATCAGTTTCCTCACTCTATGTCATGCAGGAAAAGAGAGAAAAGTTGAAACAGAGTTTACAGTAGATAAAGCTTGAGTTGTGGAATTTGAATTACAAAGCTGATGTGCCTTTTCAGACACCAAAGAAAGAAAACAGTTATAACCTTGAGTTGTGGAATTTCAATGAACTCTGCAGTCCCCAACCTTTTTGGCACCAGGCAATGGTTTCATGGAAGACAAATTTTTCACGAAGACAAGGAGTTGGGGGAGGGATAGTTTTAGGAAGAAACTGTTCCACCTCAGATCATCAGGCATTAGATTCTCATTGGGAGAGCACAACCTAGATTCCTCGCAAGTGCAGTTCACAGTAGGGCTCCTGCTCCTATGAGAATCTAATGCCGCTGCTGATCCGACGGGAGGCGGAGCTCAAGCAGGAATGCTGGCTCACTGGCTGCTCACCTCCTGCTGTGCTGCCGGGTTCCTAACAGGCCTCAGACTGGTACCCGGGGTTGGGGCTCCCTGAATTCACTGATGCTGTAACTTTTAATAGTGTAGTGATTATAAGCTTGGGCTCTGGAATTCTCATCCTATGTTTAAATTCTGCATCTGTCATTTAACAAGCTGTGTGAGGGCCTTATGTCTCTTACACCTTCTTTACCAACTCAGGTTCCTCAGCTGCAAAGCAGGGATGATAGGAACATCTCCTTTATCCGGTTGTGTGAGGATTAAATGATTCAGCGCATACATAGTGTTTAGAAAAGAGTCTGACATAGAGTGAGTTCTCAATACACATTTAATGTCATTAGCACGAAAAGGTTTTGAAATACATGAAAAGGGTCTGGAAAATATAGATGATTAAACCCATGCATTTTGTTATGAACATGTTCTTTTAAGTCACATACTTATTATTTTACCTGTGTATGGTGTGAACCAGCGCTGTCCTATTGAATTATAATGTGAGGCACACATGTAATTAAAATTGTTGTCGTAGCCACATTACGTAAAAGTAAAAATCACCAGTAGCAAGACTTACCGACGTTATGAACCCTTTGACAGAATACACTGAGAAGGGCAGTTCTGTCTGTGATTTCTCTTGCTGAAAACACACATACTCATTCCAATCATTAGAAAACACTACACACAAACCTAAACTGAGGGACAAGGTACAAGATAACAGATCAGTGCGCTTCAAAAGTGTCAAGGTCATGAATGCGAGGAAAGACCGAGGAACCATCACAGATTGGAAGAAACTAAGGGCACGTGACAGCTACCTACAATGTGGTGTCTTGGGTTGGATCCTGGGAAGAAAGGACATCGGTAGAAAAATGCGTGAAATTTGAGTACACTTTGTAGTTTATACTATTGTATCAATGTTAATTTATTGATTTCGATCATTGTACTATTTTCATGTAAGATGTTAACTTAAGGGAAGCTAGGTGAAGGCTATAAGGGAAATTTATACAATTTTGCACTTTTTCTGTAAGTAGAAAATTGGTTCAAAAAATAATTTAAAAGTTAAAAAGAAATAAGTGAATTTAATTTTAATGTTTTATTTAATGCAATACATCTAAAAATTGTTTCAACATGCGATCAGCATAAAATTATTAATACAAGATTTAAAAATGTTGTACTGTCTTCAGAAATCTGGTGCGTATTTTATATTGTGCATTTCAGTTTGAACTAGCCACTTGCAAGTGCTCAGAAGCTACGTGTGTCCCAGGGGCAGAGGCAGTGGTGAGGACGTCATCCAGGGACCCAGTGACTCCTTGACAGCATTTTTCTGGGTTGGCTCCTTTCCTGGCTCTTGTTCTGGTTTTTCCCCCATAAAGCCTTAGTAACCCCAGAGGGGATTAGCCTCTTGGAGGGTGTGCTCAGATTAACTAAATGCTGGTAACACTGGTGGCTGGCCTAAGAAAAAAATGTCTTAATTTACTAAGAACATGGTGTTTTCGATGAAGTGAAATGCTCATAGACCTAGCACTTTCTAAAATGTGAGATGGATAACACCTGTTTTTAAAGGCCTAGAAAAATGACTTCAGGGGGTACTTGGACATGGCATTAAATAACATTCACTTACCAAGTGAAAACACTTTTTTCTCATTTCGATTCTCTTTCCTTTTGATTATATTAAAGAACAAGACTCATTTAATGCCTCCCAAACACACTAGGATATGTCTCTATTTAGATATATATCTGTCTCTATTTAGATATATATCTGTCTCTTCTCTCTCTCTGTTAATAGGATCTGGCTAGAATTTAAGGTATTATTTTTTTCTATTTATTTTTGTCATTACCTTTTATTCATGGCAAATTATATTGGCTTTCCATTCAATTATTGATCTGAAAGTTTTACAATTTATTTAAAATAAAATTTAAATATAAGGACACATTTATTAAAAATGCAAATATTAATATAATCATAGTCCAGGTGGCACTGGGGAATAGCAAAACAAATAACACCAAAAAACAAAGACATAAAAATCATTCAGGGACTACGAAAGTGTTTGCAACTTGGGGAGATCAATTCTCAGTTTCAGAAATGTCCCCTTGTACAGTAGAAGCCTCTACGAAAACAAGCCTGGCTGTTCTCAATTCCCCCTCATTAAATCTTTCCCTAGTAAGATTGCTTTCCTTCTCATAGTCCTCTCTTCTTCTGGCTGCTTTCTCTCTCCTCCCCTCTTACTATACTTTTGTCCCTCTTGTCCTTTCTCTGCTCCCTTTCGCTTTTTCCTCTTTCATCTCCCTTCCTTTGGCCAAAGTTCGGCTCTCCTTACCCACCGATCACTGCTGGCCTCTAGCTTTGAGCGTTGTGCGTCTGACCAATCAGAGTGCAGCCTCGGACACCTTGTGCTTGTGGCTGACATTTTTGACAGGTCCCATGTACATACAGGACTTTTCCCTGGATATTTTGGAGTCCCTTCATGGTTTAACAATCTGGGGGGTCAAATTCCGGGCAATTGGAGAGTACTGTTCTCTATTGAAGGAAACTTTCCCATGTCACTTCTACCCTTGACTCCTCCCTTGGAGCAGACAGGTGGGGTTTCCAGGTGCATACGGTTCTCACTATTTTATGCACTGATGAGGCGGTAAATGAAATTTCTAAAATCTGGCTTGAGTAATTTATGCCTTTGAAAGGCTGATATTATTGCATTAAATTCTGAGGGCATTTAGAAAGAACACTCCCACCGACACTAAATAAATATATCCAACACAGCAATTTGGAAACGATTTGAGCGAAAGTAATTACTCGTTTTTCTTCTCTCCTGCCATCGTTACGGATGGAGTTTGACAGGAGGGAAAGGTTTAAGGGAGTTTTTCTCGTTAGGAGGTTATATAAGCAAACTTTTTGATCTCAAACCTGAAAATAATGTCAAGTTCTGCATTTAATCTCATCACAGCTCTTCTTCGTTCTCATATTCATAATATTAGTTGTCTTCTTTGTATAATTTAGCTTTGGGAGCACACAAAGTAACAAATAGCTTCAAGTTTTTACTAAATCTTACAGGTAGAGCAAGAAAAATATTTCTTTAAAAGGTAAACAACCTCTGCATCTTCAAAGCAAAACCCACTGAGAAAGCTTGTGCCACAAAACCTCCCCACCACCACAGTCCCAGCTCAGGGACCCTGAGAGAGACGGCTCAAGCTGTTTACCAGCTAACCACACAAGCCACCCTTTGATTCACACAGGCATTCCAAGTCCATTGTTTGTTTGAATGGCGTAGACAACAGAGCTGAGACACCTTTGATGGATAGAAGGTGAGAAGTTAGGTGCTACTTTTCTGTTACAACAACAGCAGCAGCAGCTAGGTACTGGTTGGAAAAAATAAAACATATTAGGTACTGGTTGAAGTGCTTTACTATGTTAGGTACTGGTTGAAGTGCTTTACTGTGTTAACTTATTTAACATAATTCCCACAACAAAGTAACAGGAGCTAGGTGCTGTCACGATCTTCATTTTACAGATGAGAAAGTTGGACCCTGAGGGGCTCCCTCACTTGCCCATGAACCTGCAGCTCATGAGACTGCGAAGCCGGATTCAAACCCGAAAGGCCTGCCTCTGCAGCCGGCTCTTCATCTCTGCACTGGCCAGCCAGCCTCTCTGAAGAAAGTGCAGTTGCTTCAACAGTTTGTAGCCAAGCAAGAGTCTGTGAAGGGAATCCAGTTTTTCTATTTTGAAATCAAATTTCATTTCACTGGAAGAATTCCTGGGCACTGGGTCTAATAAAACTCACATGTAAGGATGCAGTAAAACTCATTTTGTATATTCAGAGGAAAAACTCATTTGTATCCATGATTGTTAGGAAAACAGTTCCTCGGTGAGTCAAGTAAAAATGAACTTGTTGAAACTAAAATAAGAGTATTAAACAGATGACTCCATTAACAGGGCTTTTACTATCCATAACTTTTTATCTTTGAGTCTGAGATCTCTAAAACTTTAGCAATTTAGTTTTGACTTTTTTTTTTTTTTTGAGACCGAGTCTCACTCTGTTGCGCAGGCTGGAGTGCAGATCCAGGGCATCACAACCTCCGCCTCCCGGGTTCAAGCAATTCTCCTTCCACAGCCTCCCACGTAGCTGGGATACAGGCACCTGACACCACACCTGGCTAATTTTTTAAATATTTTTAGTAGAGATGGGGTTTCGCTACACTGGCCAGGTTGGTCTCCAACTCCTGACCTCAAGTGATCTGCTCACCTAGGCCTCCCACAGGGCTAGGATTACAGGTGTGAGCCACTGTGTCTGGCCTCATTTTCTTTCTTAAGTTTATTTTTTAGATTCACTCCCAAGCCTACTTGATGCTCTTACATATATTCTAAGGCAGTGGGTTCCCAAGCACAAATTTCACAAAAGATTCCACTACTTTTTAGCAAGTGCAATGGAAACAGGGGATATCTGGGTAGTATTTGTTCCTAGGGAGAGAAAAAAAATGTGATTATCTGGGGCTCTTTCTTTGCTTTGCTCTCCACTGCTGTTTTAACTTCCCTCTTCATATAAGGCAGTGACTAACAACAAACTGAATAGACTAAACCTTAGTGAGCAGATCCTGCAAATTAAGGTGGTTGGTTTAGGTCAGGCTACGGCTTCAAAGAGACCCAGCTATCTCCAATAAGGCTCTATCATTAACATTTCTTGGCGTAATAATACCTAGGAGTCAGGTAAGGATTCAGGGATCTTACCTCATTTTGGAATTTGAGTTCTTACTCTTTTACCATCAGTTGAGTTTATTAGTGACTTTCAATCTCTCTTCACCCGGTAAGTAGTCCTTCATACAGTATTGCGCAAGAAGAGATGACGCAGTGAGTTCTAAAATGCCAAGTCCTTGCTTATAAATGAAGCTTTGTCCCAGTAGTTGGTAGAATAGTCAGTAGTCCAACCATACGCCAATTTCCCCAAATGGCCGGCCAATAAATGTGCTTATTATTTTGTTGTCCCAAAAGATGCACCTGATGGCATCTATTGATGGATAGGTATGTAAGAAAGTGGCCAAGACTTCACCTTA